AACAATGTTCGAACGAGGGTGTTCGATTTTTTTTATGGTTATTTGGGAACAAACTAAGTTAATTACACCTACTCCTATGGAGGTTCAGTGAGGGCTCTGAACACTAAGGCTATGGCTAATTTGCAGAGAAAAAGATAAAGTTTGAAATTCTGCGTCAAATGGTTCGTTGTGTAACCCTTGCTTCGTCTTCGTTCTCCTATTTATAGCAATCCCTTGTAACCGTCATGCAACCGCCTCTTGGTAACCGCTGCTCCACTGCTTGGTGTTTGATGTAGCTTGCTTGACGACTTGACTGTCTTGCGTGCTTGCCACTTGATAGCTAACCCCTTGTGCCATGGAGGTGTCTTGTTTGGTGAGTGAAGGCTTCACGCTTGGTGGTACTCGTGCTAACCACCTTGACATGACGTCATTCTCGACACCAGGGTGCTTGGGGGTTTGATGGATGCACACTGACCCCCTTGGGGTGACATCATGCTTGCAGGGTCTTGACAAGGTAGTCTACCATGTGATGATATACATGGCTGACTACTTATAAACTTGATGACCTTGCACGAGACCTAGCACACCTACTCTGCTTGGGTACTTAAGAGGTGACTCTCAAAGCAATTGCACGACATCATGCTTGACACCCTAGTGTTTGGTATCTGGTGCTTGACCCCCTTTATGGTTGGATCTCCATACTTAGCCAATTTTCACCTCGACATGATGCTTGACACCCTACCCTAGTGCAAGGTAGGTGGCTACGGTACTTGGTGTTTGACCCCCCTGGACGGTGTCATGCATGACCCCCTTGCATGATGTCATGCTTGACCCCCCCTGGTGGTTGGATCTCCATACTTAGCCAAATTTTGGCTTTCTTCACCACCATGGTCTAGGGACTCGCGTTGCCCTTCTTCCCTTGCCAACATGCTTGATACCCAATAGGTGGCTTGACCCCCTTGGGGGGTGTCATGCTTGACCCCCCTTGTGGTTGGGTCTCATGGTACTTGGTGCTTGACCCCCTTGGACGATGTCATGCATTACTCCCTTTGTGCTATGGGTCTCAACACTTAGCCAATTTTAGCCTTCTTTCCCATCATGTCTAGCGCGATGACCCATTTGCATGACATCAAGCTTGACCCCCCTAGGATGATGTCATGCTTGACCCCCCTTGTGCTGTGGGTCTCAACACTTAGCCAAATTTTTGCTCTCTTTGCCACCACGACTAGGGTACTCGCGATGACCCCTCTTGTGGTTGGGTCTCCACACTTAGTCAATTTTCACCTTCTTTCCCATCATGTTTAGCGGTACTCGCGATGACCCCTTTGCATGACACCATGCTTGCCCCCCTTATGCTGTGGGTCTCAAAACTTAGCCAAAATTTGGCTCTCTTTTCCACCACGACTAGGGGTACTCGCGATGACCCCCTTGTGGTTGGGTCTCCGCGACTTGGGTGGTTGATGTTGAAGGGTGTCAACGCTTGGCACTTGACCCCCCTTGCATGATGGGTGGGTATTTGGTGGGTCAAGTGGTGTGTGTTGAGGTACCTGGTATGAAGCCCAAAATACCATCATTTAGGCCCAGGTTAAACCAATTTAATTAATATGGTTAAGTTGGCCTTATAAATCACTACCACTCTTTGAAAATAATCAATATGGTATTGAGTGATTTTTTAGTGGTAAACAAAAGGCTAAACCTGCTTTTGTTTAACATAAAAGTAGAAGATTCAAATTTTTTGTTCAATATAAAAGCAGAAGTTTCGTTTTGGAGCTTCTGCGAAAAGCTATTTTGAAAATACAAGATTATTCTTACTATATTTTAATTTTATTTCAGAAAATATAATTTTATTTTATTTATACCACTTTAAAGATAAAACAAATTATAAAAATCATATTATTTAATATAAACGAAATTTAACAAGATCTATTTTGACTACTTTTTATTGTTTAGAATTTTTATTCATATTTTATATTATAAGTCTTTTATAGTCAGTTTACGCAACCTCTCATATTAAAAAAAACACATCTATTAATTTTTCAGCCAAACACTCAACTGCTATTTTTGAAAAGTACTTTCCTAAAACCTCAAGCCATAAACTACTTTTGTGAAAACTACAGGGCCAAACTAGCCCATCATTTCCATTTCTTTTGTTACCTAATTACCACTACCCTCTGCAAATATACAATACATGTATAAAATGTTTTTTTTTTCTCAAGTAATATACAAGTAGTGTTTAATTTGAAAATAATTACTATTATTGTTGAAAGAGGGATGAGTTAGGTTTACTGGGATTTCCCATTCATTCTTTGTCTCCTATGTTTCACCTACCAATCTCATCATGCACACTAGCTAAATTATTATTTTAACCGTTGGTTTAGCATAAGCACAAAGGTATATGGAATAATCTACTCTAACTCTACCTCCCATAGCCTCTGGCCTATCTCTTCTTCAAAAACTAGCATAGGGCCTGGCCCGTTGGCTGGAAAAATTTTGTCGAGAAATATGGTATATAATAATGAATATAATAGATGTTTTGAAATGCATAAAATGATTGTTTTATATCTTAGTTATTCACATAATATTTTTGAAAAATGATCCAACTATGCATAATGTGTTTAGACCTCCATGAAAAGACAAAAAATATAATATAAACATTATATATAATTATTGGATGAAAAAAAGAATATAACTAATTGTCATTCATTACTTAATTAAACCATATAGTTGAATATTATAGTTGTTTCTCATAATACATACATAATCAACCTTTAGGATGAAAGAAAATGTCTCATAGAGTTTAGTATGTCCTTTAAGTTTTTCCCAATAGAGAGCATTCTTTTTTACCACACTATTAGTAATGAATCTGAAGTTGCTTTATTTAAAATATACAAGACATGATGCTAAGCTGTCGCTAATACTTAGTTGGACAATGTGTTGTGTACTGACTTCCCAAATTATTCTCAGATCGGAGACATGTCTAGCAACAATGTAGTAATTTTCATTCATCAAATATTTTTTTCATGAAATAATTCAATGAATAAGAACCTATGAAAATAATATTACATGAAATATATGTTACTCATTAAGTTGATGAATGAGCGAGGATATGGGTAGCATACATTTATTTTAAAAATATAGAAGTTGTGAAGTGTCTTTTGGGTAGCATGAAATCACATATTCTCATTATCGCTAACTGACTTAAGCTTTTTTGCAATAGATAGTTCAAAATATGCATTAAAACTTTTCTTTCTACCAGTGTAAAAGAAATGTTTGAACCAAAGGATTGTAAAATCGTATAGAAAAAGTTGATAGTAGAGTATTTTATGTTGAAGTCATACTTTAATAGTGGTTCAACCGTTTCATTTTGTTAAATATCACCTATCGATTTAGCCTATGATGTGAAGTTTTATGGTCTAACCGCCGGTACGTACGATCTTTCAGATTAGCAAAAGGTTTTATGATTATTCGATCTATGTTAGATTAGCAAAAAGTCTAAGGCTATTGGTCAACCGAGCTGAAAATTTAAACTAATTTAAGAATTATATATCGCTTCCAAAATGCTCAATACTCAAATTCAATATGAAATATTCATTATTCAAACAAATTATAAATTAGTTTCAACCCTTTCTCAATTTTTTTAGACAAAAAAATCTCCCCCCTCACACACCTTTGCAAAGAAATACTAAATCCCAATTTCTTCTTCACTTTACTTGCTTCTAAAGTTATTGTTGACATTGTTTGTTATTACTGCAAGCTGTAAAATGACTTTTCATCTATTAAGTTAATCAAGAATGAATTTATAAATGAATTTTTAGGTGTATACATTGAAAAGGTTTGAGGTCTCAAAATAAACAATGAATGTATTTTATAAACCTTTTAGAACATGAGCCGTCACACGTTGATGTGAGAAACTACTCATTAATTCAAATTTTACATGTTAGTTTTAGAATATTTTGTTTTATTTTTACCAAATGGCGCATTCTCCATAAAACATGAGTTCACCAATATAGACTGTGTGGTGCTCGAACATGTGTGCGAGCCCTTGAAGTTTAAGTCTGATATGACCATGAAGCATTCATGCTTGTACATGACCGATCCATATACATTGCCTTAATGGTTAGATCGACCATGTGCCTAGGTATAGTTATATGTATTATAATAATTAAGTTTCTACCTATTCACAACAACAAGATAAAAACAGTAATAAATGCACCTAGTATTCGATTTTGACTATTTGATGAAATACTACATTTGAATAAACTACAACGGATGTCACAAATAATAATTATACCTCTAAATCATACATAAAATATTTCAAATATAAAAAATATTAAGATTAATTTAAATATTATAAAGAGTAAAAATTGTGTAATAAGGTTAATTATAACTCATTAATATGTTAATGTCGTATAAATTGATCAACACATCCAATCCAAATTGACAAAATGAACATCAAATTAAACTCGATATCGTCTCATTGTTGTCGGGTCCATTCATACCCTATAGTTTGTACAAAATATTATTGTTTCGTATTATTCTGAAAATTCATATTAATTTCAAAATTTTTCATCGCTTTTGCATATTCAATACTGCAGTTCGATATGCAATATTTCAAGCAATGAAATTTGTGTTGTAATTTTAAGATTATCAGTCATTTTATATGTTATAAAAATTATAAATCACTTATTAAACTATTAATACGACCCTAGGAGGTTGTATGTTATCAAATTCACGCAGAAAACAATCAATCCGAAGATTAATTGAACTCGAATCAAGAACAATATGTTCTTAATACGAAAATGGGATAAAACGGAAGCGAAAGGGAATTCTTACACATGGAAGAATGCACAATCGTTATGGTGAAGCTTTCGATATAATCGAGTGTGATTGCTCGATCAATAAGCAGGCCATCAAGTTTTGATCGCAACCAATATCCAAGAACAAGTTCGCAAACTTGAATAAACCAAACAGTTTCGATTTCTATTCAACAAAGTCTCTCCTTCTATTACAACGAAAAGAGAAGGCTATTTATAGCCAAGTAACCCTAATTATCCTAAAATTACAATGAAACTAATTAAACGAATCCTACTCAAAAGTTGTAAAGAAATCCAAACAAAACAAGGAAACTTAAACATCAAGAAATCTGCCTTTGTGAACAAGTTTCCAACAATGGTTTGTACGATCTTTGAGCCTCTTGTTCACGGCCTTTCAGATCTCCAATCTTTCATCCAATTCCTTCCCTTGGTAGATAAACATACCTACTTTCATGTTGTGGAAGACTTTTGACTTGAATAAGATCCATGCTCCTCAAATTGAGCTTCAAAGTAGTCTTCACAAAACAGTTTACAGACTTTGCCATTTGCAGGCAGTTTTCAGCTTTCCAGCTAGCATCTTTGGACGTCTGGAAAATGACCTTATAGACTTCATCTTGGGATACCAAACATTCCATCATGTATATAAACTTCTAATCTTCAAAGCAAGCTGTCAATACTTGATCAAATTCGGCCTCTTTTCTTTCCAACCATGATAGCTTCTTTGGCAAGCAATAAACATGTGTAGAGTTGGCCATTTGGGATCACATCAGGCTCCCCCTCTTCAAAAAGCTTTGACCTCAAAGCATGATCTTTCTTTGGCTCAAAATATTCACATAATTGATCCCAAATTGGAACGAAAGTAGGCCTCCCAAACTTACAATTCTGGAAAATTAGGTAAATGTTCTTCATTGAGCAAATTGGGAATCTTTGATTTAGGCCTCTCCAATCTAATTCACTGCCTCCACAAGCTTTGCTAGACCTCCAATTGAACTTCTGAATCATTCTCAAGCCTCTGTTCATCGCCATCGTCTTCAATTCGTCGATTTCCTCTTTTCCGCCGTCACCGCAATTCAAAATCCTGAAACCCATAATTGTTATTTTGATTTGGGGTTTCTCTCTCAATCATCCCCAGCTCCAATTGATCATTCCAATAGCTTCCTAGGATCCTCCCTGATGATTTCACAACAGTCGTTTGGATCGAATTGTCTCTAAACTCGCCAACCCCTCTGGCCATTTGTGCCTCGTGTACGAGCATCTTCAGGGGTAAGTGAGATCGAATTGGAACCTGCAAACTGGGCTGATTCGATCCAATCCATTCTGTGGAAAACCTTCCCTGATCATCATGTAATGTATTGACGTCTTTGTCTGTGTTCGAGTCTCGGCGGAGAGGTCCACCCAATTCCACCAATTCGTCCTCGTGTTCGAGCTCCTGCAGGGATGTGTTAGCTCGAACCAGATCCTTCAAATTATAAACATTAGATTCAATCAAACCGCTATGAGAGCTTCACGATGACCCATGGAAGATTTTGGCATGAATGACTGAGTTCGGATAGCTTCACAAATCGCCAATCGACTCTCCCTCTCTCCTGCTCTGTTTTCTCGAGTTCAGGGGCGTTGCAGGTTGATATCAATTCTGCAGTTGGGCCTGAATTGACACAAACCACTCCAGGGTAAAGATTCTAGATGCTACCTGGACCATGTCTGCGCTGGTGGTGTGGCTCGACTCTTCCCCTAACTCGGCATCGACTTCTCCAGACCGTGGACTCTATTGTGCTAAAGGAAAACTGAGGCGATGAGCGCCGGTGGACGTTTGAACGAGAATGCCTTTCAAGGAAGCCAATGTTCATCATTCCAAACTCCCAACTCTCTCTTCCAAGCCGTGGGTAGTCCCGATTACAACGCCTAGGTCTCGATTCCCTTATGGAATCAGATTACGTACTGTAAAACTTGGCGTCGAAGCTGTGTTGTTTCTTGGCAACGCAAGCTCATCTACTCGAGGAGAAATTCGATCGACTTTGGGATGGAAGGTCGCGTTAAACGTGTATGTGACCATCTGCTTCAATTCCTCTATGTCAACTTGAAGATTTCCCATCGTCGCTTCTTGGAATTGGCTCTTCTTCATCGAATAAAAGTCTTCGCTATTTTGCGACGAATTTTGTAGTACGAAACAACATGTTCTTCTTCTTCGCCCTAGTGTAGAACGGGGCTCTGCTACCACTTAATACTAGGGGTGACAAACGGTAAGCCGGTAAACGGTAAACCGTTTACCGACGGTATCGGCAGCCGAGCAGGGAATTGAGTGTCTCGGTTTACCGGATCCAGTATCGGTATATACCGACGGTAGGTCGCTAATACCGATACCGAATCCCAAGCGTTGTCGTTTTAGTCCACGGGCGGGAGCGACAGCAAGAGGAGCACCAGGGCTACGTCGGTCTTCTTCCCTTCGGGCTTTCGTCCCACGAGATCAGCTCTCTCCGAGACCGTACTAAGGATATCCTAAGCGTGGTTGTGGCTTTGCTCTTTGCCGTCGGCTGTGGAGCTCTCACTGTCGCGACTATGTACCTGGTCTGGTCGCTCTTCACCGTGCGCTCTGCTGCCTACTAAGACGAATTGTACGACGATGATGAGGAAGAGGAAGAAGATGCATCGCCTAAGAAGATGGGTTATGTCAAAATCCCCGAAGCCGAGAAAGGTGCTGCTCCTATTAAAGCTGTGGTATGAACTCACAACAGGGGTTTTCTGTTTCCCATTTGTTTCTATCGTGTCTCGTTACAGTATAACAAGAGGAAAAGTAATTTGCAGTCTTGCGAGCGAGCGTATTTGACTTTGCCCTTGCTTTATATTATGTTAAAAGCTATCTGTGCCTTCTTAATGTTTTCTATCAGCCATTCTCTCTGTTGTTGCTGCTGATAGATGGTGGAACCTACTTGTGACATTTTCTCCCATTGCTATGAATGTTCATTTCCGGCTGTTTGTTTTGCTTATCTGTTTCTCTTGATCTGATTCTCCATTTTGCCTAGCTTCCTCTTAGATTCAGATACATGGTTGCATTTGTCATCATTTCGGTCTCGTCTTTCTGGCAAGATCATTTGGTTTCTCTGTAGCATGTATGGTGGGATTGGAATGAGTTGGGGGCTGATGATCATTGGTATGATCTGTGTATTTGTTCCCACGGGATGACTACATTAGTGATGGTATTCCTTTGTTTAAACTTGTAAGGATTAACTTGTGTATTCCTCATTCCTTGAGTGAGGTAACTTGGTAGTTGATTCGAGAGTTCAGGCCGCCATCTCCTCGCATCCTCGCCGTCCTGCCGTCCTCGCTGACCTTACATGCCCCTCCAAATCCATTTTACTGACCCTGTACCAAACTTACGTTCAATTGTTCATTCATATGTCGATCTAGTTCACCAAATCAATTTCGCTTCTCACGGTATTTCGGTAATACTGGTTTGTAACCGTTTACCGGTAATTCGGTAATCGGTAAACCGGTTACAAACCGGTATCGGTAATCGGTAAACAGTTTGGCCAACGTCGGTATACCAAAACCGGTAAATTCGGTAAACAATTTACCGTTTACCGACCGAATCCCAACCCTACTTAATACGACCCTGAGGAGGTTGTATGTTATCAAAATCACACAACAAACAATCAATCCGAAGATTGATTGAGATTGAATCAAGAACAATGCGTTGTTAATACGAAAATTGGATAAAATGGAAATGAAAAGGAATTCTTACACCTGGAAGAATGAAAAATTGTTATGGTGAAGCTTTCGATATAATCGAGTGTGATTTTTCAATCAATAAGCAGGTCAGCAAGTTTTGATCGCAAACAAAATTCAAGAACAAGTTTGCAAACTTGAACAAACCAAACGGTTTCGATTTCTATTCAACAAAGTCTCTCCTCTTATTACAACGAAAAGTGAAGGCTATTTATAGCCAAGTAACCCTAATTACAACACTAAAATAACAATGAAACTAATTAAACGAATCCTACTCAAAAGTTGTAAAGAAATCCAAACAAAACAAGGAAACTTAAACATCAAGAAATCTACCTTTGTCAACAAGTTTCCAACAGTGGTTTGTACGATCTTTGAGCCTCTTGTTCATGGCCTTCCAGATATCCAATCTTTCATCCAGTTCCTTCACTTGGTAGATAAACATACCTACTTTCATGTTGTGGAAGACTTTTGACTTGAATAAGATCCATGCTCCTCAAATTGAGCTTCAAAGTAGTCTTCAGAAAACAGTTTCCAGACTTCGCCATTTTCATATTTCCAGCTAGCATCTTTGGACGTCTGGAAAATGATCTTATGGACTTCATCTTGGGCTACCAAACATTCTATCATGTATATAAACTTCTTATCTTCAAAAAAAGCTATCAAACTTGAATTTTCATTGAGCCAATTGAGATAACCAAGCCTCCAAAGTAGGCTACCTGAAACTGTATCAATACTTAACCAAATCCTGCCTTTTTTCTTTCCAACCTTGATAGCTTCTTTGGCAAGCAATAAACACGTGTAGAGTTGGCCATCTTCTGTCTCTTTTATTGGCGCAATCTTCTTTGAATTCAATATTCAATTTACTTTTATTCAAGATATCTCCTCCCTTTAATCTAATTAGTATATTACTTTTCAGTAAGGAAGGTAAACAAGAGTTAATGGCAAGCGCAATAGAAAGGCACTTGATGTGATAGGAACTGTCAATTATGAATTTCAGTAGGAATAAAAAGTTAACATAGTTAAAGCTCTGTAGAAAAAATCCTGAACAAGAAACAGACTTTGTTCTTTTTTTTTTCTATAGCGATTCTTTGCAGGTCTTTCAACCATAGACGCGAAGTTAAGGGAGGTAGGCAGACGAAGGCCGATTCCACTAACGTTGGGATCATATCAACTTTGCTTTTCAGAAGATTTAATAGGCTAGCTACAGGGCCAAACTAGCCCATTATTTCCATTTCTTTTGTTACCTAATTACCACCACCTTCTGCAAATATACAATACATGTATAAAATATTTTTTTTCTCAAGTAATATACAAGTGGTGATTAATTTGAAAACAATTACTATTATTGTTGGAAAGAGGGGTGAGTTAGGTTAACTGGGATTTCCCATTCATTCTTTGTCTCCTATGTTTCACCTCCCAATCTCACCATGCTCACTAGCTAAATTATTGTTTAAGCCGTTGGTTTAGCATAAGCACAAAGGCATATGAAATAATCTACTCTAACTCTCCCTCCCATAGCCTCTGGCCTATCTCTTCTTAAAAAAAGCCTCTCTCTCTTCATCACGGTCTCAAACATCTTCTTTCGATTACGAGCCCATGGGCCTCGATCTATTTTTTTCTTAATGCGGCCTAAAGGTTTATGTTTTTTTGGCTTGCACAATTCGAAGAAGAGGGTTGATTTAGGGGTGGATACGGTCACAACCAAGACACTATTTTTTATTGAATACTGAAGTCAATTTGGGCATGACAAAAAATTTATTAATCGTGCCCATAAAAGTGGTGCTTCTTAGCAGTTTGGCTGGGAAATGCTGATATTGTACCTCTTTCACTTATGTGCTCTTAAGAGTTGGTTAATGCAGAATAGCGGAGAAAGAAAGTAACTGGTTTGGTTGAATGCCGTTTTGCTGGGTTTGGAACCGTGGAACCTTGTGCTATGAAATTTTCCACAACCTAAAAGGCAATTTTCCCCATTTCCTAAACCCTACCCAGTCATCTGAACCTGTGTCTAAGACCTCAGGATAAGTTAGTGGTGACACCCGATATGTGAGCTCTAGCATTGAGAGGCTGTCGTCATGGGGAGAGACGTTAGGGATTGAGAGTATGAGTAAGCACAATTCTTGCATAAAATTTTGTCCTCCCCTAGTGGCCGAGAGTGAACGATTTGTTTTCATATTATATATCCCGGTGAGGACCTTGATTGCTCGATTTTGATTCTGATGTCTTGAATTCTATGAATAAGGTGATCGTGTGGTATGAGTGGCTGAATCGAGTCTATGTTGGTCAATGAACAGAAGGGGGATTCTTCCTTTACCCGATTTTGCTGCACTCGAATGTCATCTGTGGTGGTGTCCAGGTTGCTATTGATGCTTAGTAGCCAGTATGATTCACGAGTTTTGTGCCTCTATGAAATGTCCCCCAAAGTTTGCATGGTTAAAACATTTTGAGCTTACCGGGGGTCTGATTCGGTTTGCTTGGGAACAAGCAAACGGTTAAGTGTGGGGGAATTTGATAACACTATATTCGAACTTGTATTCTCGTTATCGTGGCTCGTTTTACGCTAGGTTGTGTTGGTTTATGATGTTTCGGGTCATAGTACGTGAACGGGGGCGAAGGGCAAGTTTTGGGACGATTTGCAGCGAACATGCAGAAAGATGGGAGGAGTTATGAGCCAGCTTTGGGAGTTACGATGGCAACCGTAACTTGTCCCACGAGCCCCTAACTTCTCGGAGTAAAAGCGTCAAGCTTCAGAGATCTCTGAGGAGTTACGGCCAGACCTTCGAAGTTACGGTCTGGACCGTAACTCATCCTTTGCAACCATAACTCCTGGGTAGCGATGCCACCAGTTCCAGATGCATTTTTTGGAGTAACGGCCTCCCCTCTCAAGTTACGGTTGAGGACGTAACTACCCCAAAAGAGCCGCAATTCTTGGTTTATGGAGAGCAGGAACGACACCGGTTTCTAGAGAATTACGGGTGGGCAAGACAAGTTACGACCGTAACTATGTTGTAACACGCAGATTCTCAGCTTATAAAAGGGCTGCTCGAGCAAAAGGCAAAGGATCCATTTCATCTAGGTATAAAAAATCCCTAGCTGTGTATGTTAGGAACAATTGTATGAACCCCATTTGCGGATGATTGATATGATAAATTCAATTGAGGAATTATTCAGAATTGCATGAGTCCTCATCAAACCTGTTTAGAATGATAGTCTTGGCATAGGTTAAAAGAGCAACCTTGAATTGAAAGTTACCGGTTTTAATCAAATAAATTTTCTCAATAGTTACCATCTTTATTCATCACGGTACACGTTATAGATATGAAATTATATTACGCAATAGAAGATACAAGGAACATTAGAGATTAATCAACAATATGAATTAGCATGTTGAAGATGTAGCACAGCGATGCAAAAACCCTCCTCGATACAACATTAACCTTACTTATTTTGCACAAACTAATATGCCAGAGAATTTGTGACCATTTTTCATGCATGCAAGAGAGTTTCGTTGTAGAAGGTATTAGAGAAACTATAAAATGAGCTAGTGCGAAGATTCAGACTAAGCATTCTTAACATGAGTCAAGGGCTCAAGCTATAAAAGAAAGACCAAAGGATTATTTGTGCATTGCGGAAGTTATAATTAGAAGTTGAACCTTTAGATGCCTCATTGTTAACTTCAGTATTAATATTTTTGAGGTAGACAAAAAAATGGGCGATGAAGAGAAAAATTATATCATATGCTCAATACATAGGAGCTAACTTTGAAAACCCAATGTAAAGTAACTTTGTGACTTGATATTGCATTTTGTTCTCCCTAAAATCCCTAGCTTATTCATATGTGAAACAAAAGCCTTTAATTATGCTTCCAAAAGAAACACAGGGAAAGACAATTAGATATAAAAAGAAACAACACCACTATTTATAAGCTTAGACAATTGGGGGAGATGAGCGAGCTTGAAGATGAAAGTCAAATACATTGTAAAAAAGAGGTTCATTGCGAGACATTCAATGCCAAGAAATCCAATAAGAACTGTACATGAAAAATTCTTGTATTTCCCAGTCAATTTGGTAAACAAAAGCAAGAGAAATAAACAAAAAATTGATAATTTGTCAATTTGGAGGTTCATTAATTTATAGTTTGTCTGTGTTCATCACCATGAATAAACACTTATTCCCGTCCAAATGATAATATCTATGAAATTCTATCTAAAACCATTCAACCATTAGATTACATATTACAAAGAAAATAACAAAACTATAGCGTATAGATAAAGATGTTGGCAAACACCACACAATAGATCCACCATTCATTAATCTTTAAGCATACAATCAGATGGAGTCTATCTCATCTCTGTTTGTCACATAACACCACCTTATTGAATCTAAGAACAATATTAACATGGGCATACACATTTTGAAAGTGATATTTTGGATTACGATATGTTACTCATTGCCTTATGCAAAATCTAAGTATATAGGGTCAATCGAAACAACAGGTACACACTTAGTGGACGAAAATTATGAAATCTGCTAAACCTTCTTATCAAGAACTAATCCTAAGTTTCTCCCAAAACATTGTATCTTAGAGAGGGCAAGCAAACCATGAGATTTTAAAGGTATTTCTAACCTTTTGGGATTCTAAAGTAGATACTATATAAGTTCTAATTTTAGTATCACATGAGAAACACAAATCAATGGCATCTAAACAAAACAAAAAGATCTTAATTATGCTCCAAAACATAAACATATAGCATGCGGTTTAGATTTAATCATTAATTTAATTATTTATCAAGTTTCCTAACTTAATAGATATCATTGATTAATCAAGAAGGATAAATAAATATAAAAGAGAAATGTCGGTATTCTAAACTAATAATTAGTTTAATTAATATTCAAAATAAAGTTGTGAAACTTCAATCCCTCACTCTTTCTCTACCACATTTAAATCGTGCCGAAACCTCCCACTTTGTACCTTTCTATTTTCTCACGTTGTCCAACACATTCGCTTCTTTCCAAAATGAATTTTAGTTACCCTATTTTCGCTTCTTTGATATACCATTTTCAGACGTGATGGATTTGCGTTAGACGAAGCTGGTATCGTTAATCACAGCGAATAGATTCGATAACTGCCGTCATTGCTTCGTTTATGTTCGCCATCTTATTTTTCACCTACAGTTGATGTCAAAGTTTGGAAGCTTCATCTATTTACTGTTGATATTCATACTTCATTGTTAATTGTTTCAATAACGGTTCATTCATTGGCTGCTTCCCGTTGAGATATATAATGGTTAATGATTTTGTTTATGTTGGCCACATTTCAATTTGTAAATTATTTACAGTACATAATTTCATTGTTAACCGTATGATCCAATATCGTAGTTGTCTATCAATGTTGTTTGTTCACATTATTAATGTTCATGATATCATTATTTTAAAAATGAACATTTATGTTGATTAGGATAATTGGTAACATCACACAAAATGGAATAGGTACTAACTCGCATCATTAAAACTAATATCATAATTGTTAGAAATAACTCTATTTTTGTTAAAAATAATCAACCCATGAGTAAACCCTTATCCCCGTCCACATAAAAATATCAATGAAATTCTATCTATGACCTAATAATTTGCATATTACAAAACAAATAACAAAAATATAGCGTATATATAAAGATGTTCGCAAACACCAA